GAGTAACTCTTTGAAAAAGTCGTTTGGCAACACATTTTTTTTTGTAGCGGTATGCATGAGACTGACATTATACTGTCATAAACATAACATCTGTCATGAACATGAAAGAGTCTTTATGAATGTCATTCAGTAAATAAAGACTTTTAATGCAAAGTTGACTCTTTTAATTGACTTTTAATGTAAGTTTTAATGCTACTTTGCCTAAAAAAGTCATTATTTACCAAATAATGCTAAGTTGACACTTTTAATGCAACTTTTAATGCAGTTTTGCATTAAAAGTATCATTAGTTACTGAAAGACACTTATTCATGAAGACCTCTTTATGTTCATGACAGTATGTCATGTTTATGACAGTGTAATGCCAGTCTTATGCACACCCCACAAGTTTTACCATAGTTGTATTACTGTACGTTTTGCTTTTAATTAAGCTAATTTATTACTGCTCTTACTTGAGGAAACTATCTGAACACTCTACCCAGTGTGAGTCATTTCATTGGATAAAAAAAACAAACATGTTTTAACCCAAAATGCATGAGACACAGAGACGCATACAGTTTATGTTAAAGTGAGACATCTTGTTCCTACACAAGTTTTATTGTTCTCATGTTTTTTTTCTTCTATTCTATGTTAAAAGGAAAGACAGTAAGCATTATATCACTGGAAGAAATATAATCTGTTCTAACACACATATATACATTACCTTATGTAAGTATTGGTTTCTTACAGTACATTTTATGTTATAATCAGCTTTTGCAAAAAAAAATAAATAAATCTGTTTAGATTTGTTATTTTTGACTTTTTTAGTCTTTTTGCTTTTTACCTCTACTTAAATTATATCTTTGGCTGCTCTCCACCTCTAAGTAGAGTCCAGCTGTTTGTAATCTGTCTCAGTATAAATCCAGCTGCTCTCTGAAGGCCTCAGCAATTTCTTGGAGAACATTAACAGCATCGAGAAGACCAAGGAACACCGAGCTTTGAACATCTGCTCAAAGCTACAAATTGTTTGTTCACTTATTATTCTAAAAAGTTTTTATTTTACCTAGAGAGGCGGTGAGTGACAGACAGAGAGATGCTTGCAG